CACACACACACACACACACACACACGTACGTACGTACGTACGTACGTACGTACATACATCGTTTCGATATGTTTGAATTAATCATATATATAATGTATTTATTATTTAATATGTTAAAAAATGTTGCAATAAGATATTATTTATAATATTATTGAATATTTTAGCCAGACCGTTGGTGGCACAGCCTCGAACAATGGTTACGCGTCGCGGATAACGCGCTTTGTTTACGTACGGCGAATACCGCGTGCCGTATTTACGAGCGCTTCATGTGTTATCATTCTTTCATTGACTTTCGTACGGTCAGGTAGCAGAGCGCGTGGTTCCGTATTTCTTTGTATTTCTTTGATGCTGAACGGTATCAAACGTTGCTCTATTTTACGAACGTAATGCTTATTGAACGGCGTGATTAACGTGATTAACGATTCATAAGTGTATCGAATAACAATAATTCTCTAACGAAATATCTACATATTTCGCGCGACTTCTTTAAAATTCATAACTTTTAAATTCATAACTTTTAAATTCATAACTTTTTGTTAACCCCTCTAAAGGGTACGGCCTTGACGTGGCAAAGGGGCTTAGTATTCCGAGGGGTTTCGTTGGATTCCCCAACGGAATCCCAAAGACGAAGAAGCCAACAGTACCCATTGCACCATTATTAATAACATTAATATTAACGTTAGCTAATATTACTGTATTAATAATGTACTAGCACAGCATAGCCACGAGTCGTGAAATGGCTCTTATGTGGCAAATGCGTTTCACGCATCAATATACTAACACAGCATAGCCACGAGTCGTGAAAGGGCTCTCATGTGGCAAAGTTGATTAATGCGGAACTTTTTCATGGAACTTGATATTTTCACGGGCAGCTAAACGCGGAGTGCCGTCAAATATCGCGCGAAAGACTTTTATTTAAAATTAGTCCGCGCGCGTTATTAAAATAATTCGCGGGTGTTTTTCGCGAGTGTCTTGTGCTGCGAGGACATCCGACGACCCGAGAGGAGGATCTCGAGAGGAGGAGGAGGTCTAGGAGAGGCATCGGGCATCGGCGGAGCAACCTTGCGGTAAATATACATTTCTTATCAACAAAATTAAAATTGATTATCTTTGCATTTATAGAATCATTAGATATCGATATTTTAAAATTCGTATAATTCGAGAGAAAGAAACAATTAAAAATTTTATATGAGTTTATTTCTGTAATGATCATTTTTGGAAATTATATAATTATTAGAAAAGATTTTTGGAAATTATAAATTATAAATTATAAATTAAATTATATACTTTAATAAATATTTAATTGAAAAATAGATTTGATAAGAAAGCTCTAAGAATTACTTAAGTAGAATTATTTTTAAAAATATCTATTATATTTAAGGCGCTGCTATAATTTGAATGTTCTTTGTATGTTACAGAATCATCGTAGCCACGTGGCAGATTTACTCCGCTGTTGCGCATCGGGTCGGTGAGTGACGAATTTTTTATATTGGGGTAACAAATTTGTGAAAATTACATTAGATTATTTTGATACATTTATCATAAGAATAATTGCAACTGAATATGTCTTCACAGATTCGTTGCCCTAAAATGAATAGATTTAAACAGTTTAGAGTAGATATTTAATCCTGGAATGATATCACTTATTGATTTATTATATTATAATAATGTACAGACACATAGAACTTAGAAAATAAAGTTCATTGTGTCGATATCTGATTATTTTATATTGTCTTTTATATTTTAATTGCAAGTTTAATTGCATATCTGCATTAGCTTCAAAGTTAGATTACAGAACACTCTCGCAAAAAGAATTAATAATTTAAATGTTTTAAAATTTAAGATGTGTATATATATATATATAGTACAAATAATTTAAAAATAATATAGCTTAATTTATTTTAAATGTTTCTTTGGAAATATATTAATGGAGTTTAGTTAAATTTATTATATTTTCAAATTTTTTAAATAAATAATAATAACAGACAAAACCGCGTAAAAGAAAGTTATATTAAAGTAATAATATTTTTCAAAAACAATAAGTTTTCGTTAAGATCTTTTTATGATATTTATTTTTCAATAAATATAAGAAACAAAGCTTAACAGAAAGTATTCATATTTTATATTTATAATGTAATAAGAATATATATTTATATTATGTGTGTTTTTTATTCACCTCTCTATATCTTCTTCCTCTATTTTACCAGGATTAAATATCTAAATCAGCGCATAAAGTGAGATATATATAGTATATATGTATATACAAAAATTCTTTAGTAATGTGTACTATAAATATAAATGGATGAATAACAAAAAGAAATAATCAGTTATATAACAAACGTGCCGATTTAACTCTAATCATGTTCAATCTATCCATATATATTAATTAAAAACTTGGCTTTATATAAATTAAAGCGAAATAACATGACATGAGATCCAGTAAATATTTCGTGGCTAAATTGATAATTATAAATTACCTTTAATATCTAATGTTTAGAGTTCATAATAATAATTTATAAAATTATATATCGTATAATATTGATATACTGATTATGAGGAAGATTCATTATCCTGTTAGAATCTCGTGTCATTCATCTGAATATTTCATGTCGCTCTCACCTAATTCATGGTGAGATTTAAACAATGGTTTCGATTGTACGGAAATACGGGCATAATATTATGGGCCTTAGCTTTTATCGGTTCGGACAAATATTATTCATTAAATAATATATACAATCGTTTTTATTTTCATTTATTTTTTATGCAATATCATTTAAAACTTTTTTAAATTTTATTTTTTTTCTGATATATAAGTTTCTTTAAATTAAATTAAAAAATAATAATTGATACCGAGATATGAAATAGAGTTTTTATAAATTTTAAATCGAATATTAATCACGCGTATTTCGGAAAAAGCGCAATTTTGTTAAATTAACATTATGCAAAACGTTGTTACAAATTTTGGACTTTTTTAATATTGGAATGGTCTTCGCAATCGATACGATTTCGTGATTGACGCACGCGATAAAATTGTGCGTATTGTCTATCGGCATTAATAATAAGCCGGAATAGAAGGGGTATATCTCCTTCCTCTCTCTCTGGTTATATATGTGGCCAGAATTTCTGGCTAAATGGCCAGAATTGGCATAGAGCAATGTGGCCAGGAGCGAAAGGTAGATCCAATCTGGCCTGAAAAACAACATCTGGGTCAATATAATATTGACCAAAAGGGAGTACTGAGTATGTACTAAGTTGTAATTAAAGATTGATGATGATTGTCATCATGTGCATATGTGCAGTCGTATGTGATTTCGAAAATGTAAGTAATTATCCAAATTTCTTCCCCTCCCCCTATTTATTAAAGTTTCACATTTCCCATCGAATAATCGCGAGTTAAGTATACTGTTTTAGTATAGTGTAAAATAAAGATCCGGTTAGGTAGATATTATCTGAACTTGCGGATAGGTAGAAATACGATATTCGCGAATAGATAGGAACACTATAAAAATTGGCGAGTAGGAAGGAATATTATAAAAATTTACAAGTAGGTAGAAATATCATGAGAATTCGCGAGTAAGAATATTATGAAAATTCGCGAATAGGAATATTATAAGAAAATTTGCGGATAGACAGGTATCAAAATTCAGGTGGGCAAAGAAATTCTATTACAAAAATTCGGGTGGGCACAGAAATTATTATATTATAAAATTCTAAATGGGTAAAGAAATGATTTTACTATGATTTTACTATGATTTAAGCTTTAAAAATTAAATCTTAAAATTATAACTTAAATTAAAGCTTAAATTTAAACTTTAAAATTATTTTTTTTTAATAAAAAATTATTAAATATAAAATGCTATATAAAATTTTAATTCAAATAAATGTTAAAAATTGAATTAAAATATTATGAGTAAAGTATTATATTAAAATTATTTTTATAAATATTCGGATAGATAGGGAAATGGTTACAATTTGTGTTACGATTTAAAAATTATAAAAATTAACAGAAATGTGAATTGTAAAATATCAATTGCGAAAATATTTGTTAATTGATAATAAATTAAAATATTTTATTTGTAAATATTATATAATTGTATAATAAAATTTTATTTATGTAATAGTAAATGTAAATTGCTATCAGTATTTAATCAAAAGTTTGAAAATAATAAAAGTTATTTTCTTATATATATATATATATATATATATATATATATATAATTAAGT